TCTAATCCGGCAACCACGAACCATGACATCCATACCCCTAAGCCCTAAACCCTCAACCCCTAAACACTAAACCCTCAACCCGTAAACCCCTAAACCCTAAACCCTAAGCCCCTAAACTCTAAACCCCTAAACTCTGAACTCTAAACCCCTAAACTCTAAACTCTGAACCCCTAAGCTCTAATGCCCCCAAAGCAGCAAGGCTCCGAGTCGCATCTCGCTGTTCCGAAGACGCCACCCAACGTCGCCCCGCAAGGCGTGAGCCTTTCGAAAGGGATTTCTGAGGGTTTTGAGACAGGGTCTTAGGGTTTGGGGTTTAGTTTGGCGTCAGACCAACAAAGGGGAGTACAAGATCTTTCTGAAAACGCAGACATCTTCCGTTCTCCCCAGAGTCGAGGGGTTTCAAGCCCGAATGCCAAACCCGAAAGCCCTAAACCCGATACCCTAAACCCCCCAAAAGCCGACCCGCTAAAACCTTAGACCCTAAACCCTAAGCTCCCCCTGAAGGCCCTAAACCCCATAAACGCCCCACATCCCCTAAAGCCCCAAATCTTACACCTAGGTCCAACTCAGCTCCCACACGCTCAGAAGAAGGCGCCGCCTATGGGAGCTCCCTGCTTGAAAACAAACGGCCAAAGCTTCTGTGGTTTGTGTTCAGAGTTTAGGGTTTAGGGTTTTTGTTTAAGCCATGTCTAGGGTTTTTTTTTGGGTAGTTTTCCAAAGTGCCCTACTATGTTGGGGACCTAAAAAGGGACCCTACTTTAGAGAACTGCCCATGTGCAGGGGGTTCTTAGGGAGTTATTGGGCTTTGTGGGGGTGAGACGCTTTTGCGGGGTTTCATCAGGTCTGTTTCAGGCTTGGCATGGGATTTGGGGTGTAAGAGAGAAGGACTATGCTAGGGTGGTGACTGTGAGAAGGGCTCCTGAGGAAGACTGGTGAGAAAAAACTGTGGTGGGTATGGGGTTTATGGTTTGGCCTTACGAGGCTTTGGGGAATGGGTTTTAGGTGCTGGGCTGTTCAAGATTTCCTTAGCACGGAACTTCAAACTCATCCCCCGAAAGTACGTCCTAAACCCCAACCTCCTAAACCCTAAACCCACGTTGCTACTGTTCGAACGCATCGTCCTGACAACCGTTCCATGCCCAGGCCAAACCACCCTGGATGCAGCAGCAACAGCCCATGCCGGCTGCAAGCAGTGCATTGTGTTTCACCCTGAACCCTAAGTATTTTCTCGAACCCCAAAACCCTAACCAAACTCTCCCTAATCTCCCAACAGATCCTTTCAATGTGGGTTCTGGGATTTGGCTTCTTAGGGGCTGAACTGACTGCAGTTAGTAGAAGGGTTACTATCCATGAAGTTAGTATAGGCAACAGGAGTGCAGAGTAGGGTGATTTCAAGTCTTTTACACGCTCAGGTTGTGTTGTTTGAACTGCAAGGGTGACGAGAAGGTCTGAGTGAGCGCCCCGAGCGCGACACGCTACACCGCTGGCTCCACACCCGACAACCCCAACACTTTGGCCTCGAAGTCCCTAAACCCTAAACCCCGAGCCCTCACCGACAAGCAGGGCGACCACTGTTCCTGCAGCCCCACCGCAGCCTCCCGCGGCCCCGGATTTGGCAGGCTTGGAGCCTTAGCGCTGGATTTTCTTGGCACATTTTGGGAATCTGTTCCCTCCTGGGGCTTGGCTCTGGGGGTCGGGCGCCAGGGATTCAGAGGGTTTCGGTTTCCTGAGGGTTTACCACGACTGTTTCTGCCGGTTTTCTGCGACACGGCAGCTTCTGCTGCTGCTACTGCTCCGACTTCTACTCCTACTCCAACAACAACTACTACTCCTCCTCCTCC